AGCAGGAAATGATATTATATTCACTGACATTTGGTAGCATGTTTTTCAGCTAGGGGTAGAAAAAATAAAGTCTGTGACTTACTGCATTAATTCTCTCCACAGGAACTGCTGAATGTATAACAGAAATTCAAAAGTGGTGTACATTTCAGTAAACATAGGCAAAGTTATGAAAAATTATATCTTGCACCAATTTACATAGAATTTTCCAAACGGAACAAAATAATTAAAAACATGATCCCCGTCACTGAATAATGGTTTTATAAGTCATGTGGGGATTACTGATGAAGTGATTGTTTGAAAAAGTAGGTTTAGAGAAGGAAATGAGTAAAAGAGCAGGAGATAAGAACAGTAGTAGGATGAAATATTCATGGGCCACACCCAGATGAGTGCAGCTGTGTCTGTAGTGCTACATACCACATGTTCAGCTGTTCTCTGTGCTGCACAGGAGCAGCGCGGGGGGGGGGCGCACGCATGACTCCTGGATATCCAGGGATCAAAAAACCTGTGCATAAAAAAAAAAAAAAAAAAAAAAGCAGAGTGGCACACACAGGGCGCACACCACTCAAAACTGGAACCTGGAAAGCTGGAGCCATGCTCCAACTACCAGCCAGGCTCCAAGCATGATCGCTACTGCTGCAGCCCCAGGAGGTCCCCAGGTAAGGCTGCTGGGGCCAACACAGTGCTGGTCCCAGCCTCCCTTACCTCACCCAGGGTGACCAGCTGCACAACTGGCACCAGAGGGCACATGGCACAGGCATTCCCTGGGGACCAACTAGCAGCCGCACAAAGTGTGCCACTGCTAGTTGTCCCCAGGGAACCAAGTATCCACACTTGTGTGGATGCAGCCATGGAGTCTAAAGCTAGAAGCTGCTGAAGTCATCTAGTCTGACCTACTGTATAGGCAAACATGCATGTCATTCTCAGTATTGGCTGCATTTAATCAGCTTCATAGTTGGTTTCTGTTACTGATCACATAATACTTTTAACAGCAGTTTAAAAATAGACAATACATTTAATGCTGTTTCCTTGTATGAGAATGCAAGATAAAGGTCCCCTCCCCCCACCCCCATGTGGGTTGGGAGGAGCCGGGGGACTTTTTATTGTATTCAAGTAAATACAGTACTTTAAGATTTAGGAAACTGATCTCTTGGAAATTTCCAGGTGTACATGTTACTAGTTGGTGCTATATTCTGTTCCTCAAAACAAATACTGTATAACCATATTACAGTCACTACTAGTATGTAGGCATTTTTTTGTCTAGTTAACTCTTGGTACATTACAAAAGGTCCAGATTCACTACCCTCCTAATAATAAAGCTTTTCCTCACATCTAACTTGATCTAACTGAGAACAGTCTAGCTCCATCCTCTTGGGAACCACCCTTCAGGTAGTTGATGGTTGCTATTAAGTCCCCCCTCAGTCTTTTCTTCCAACTAAATAAGCCCAGGTCCCTCAGCCTCTCCTCAAGCCATGTGCCCCAGCACCCTAACTGCTTTCATTACTTTCTGTTGGACTCTCTTCAACTGGTCTACATCCTTTAGAGCAGAGGGGCAAAACTAAACACAGTACTCCAGATGTGGCCTCATCGGTGCCAAAACAAGGGAAACAATCACTTTCCTAGATCTGCTGGCAATGGTTCTACTAATGCAGGCCAGTATGCTGTCAGCCTTCTTGGCAACAAGGGCACAGTTGACTCATATTCAGCTAATTGTCCACTGTAACCCCCAGGTCCTTTTCTAAAAAGCTCCTGCTTAGCCAGTCAGTCCCCAGCCCGTACAAGTCCATGCAACTGTTCCGTCCAAAGTGCAAGACTTTGCACTTCTCCTTACTGAACTTCATGAGATTTATTTAGGTCCAATCCTCCAATTTGTCAAGGTCTTTCTCAATCCTAGCCCTACCTTTCAGCATATCTACTATTCTAGCATCTGACTGTCTTCACAAAAAGACAGTAGCATTACTTTGCAAATATAGGAGTTCAACATGCCCAATAAGGATATGGCACTCACAGGTGTGCAATGAAAAAAAACTTCTAATGATCAATCAGTCTTTTGCTCTATCAATGTCACACAGCAATTATGCATTTGCATGGCACTATTGTGGAAATGCAGGAATTGCAAAAACAAAGAGATTATTTGCTATTTGTGCATTTTGGGACTAGCCCACCAACTGCTGAACAATCATTTGTTTGTCAGTAGCCTGTTTCATTGTGGATTAGCAGTGACCAAGCAGCCATCTCTTGTGAGACTGTATGCACATCACATAATGGAGGGTTGTGGCAAAATTCAGACCTAGGTTAAATGCTTTTTAAAGAGAGAGTGAAATTTGAATATGAAGTGGAGAAAAGCCTAATGCACACCCTAAGAAAGTCATCTAGGTTAAATCTGGTGCCTTAACTTTCAGTTGTTTTAATATGCTACCCACATCCAACTGGCTTCTGCATACCTCCATATTATCACATTAATACTCTAACAGTACTGCTCACTATATCTGAAATGTTTTTTGCCTGCTTTGAAGAAAGACAGCTGCAGTTTTAATACGTTTATTAAAAGCTAGTATATTAAAGTTAATATTTTATTAACTACGGAAGTAAAAATGTTCACCTATTAACTATTAGGTAGTTTTTAGCCATTAACTAGGGCAGTAGTTTCAAGCCATTTAGCCTCTACCCCCTCCCCACTTCTGAAACTATGGGAATGTTTTAGAGAGCAAAACATTCCAGGGTCTAACACAGGGCTGTCCAATTTATGAGCATTTGGGGGCTGAACACCCCACAGGCTGTACCAGCAGGGGCCATACCACAGCAAGCCACGGGTCCCCTGGGCTGCGCATCATTTGGACACCATGCCAGCTGCAGAGTGCCTAGATTGATGCTCATCCATTGCATCTTATGCCATGCCTGTACAGCCCCAGCCTCACTCTACACTTCGCACACTACACTGTGTGCAGTGGGGTGGAAACAGTGAGTGGGAGCAGGTGGGGGTGAGCCTGGGAACTGCATCTTAACCCTTCATGAGTCGCACATGGCCTGCAGGCCACCAGTTGGACAGCCCTCACCTAACAGGTTGAACAAACAGAACTATCTAATCCAGAGCATACATAACACAGTTGTACAGATACACTGGCACTTGCTTCAGAAGTGAATCAGCTAGATTGGCACTAAGAACAGCCATGGTAATACAATGGGATTTGGTTATCCATCCATAAAGGTAGTTGTAATGGATCTGGGGAAACTGAGCTCATAAGTTTCTTGCTGCTCTGTAAATTCTTTGTGGAAAGGGAAATAATTACAGAAACTTGCTGTGAAAATCCATAATTATCATGGAAAAGCTACATAGCATATTTTATATTGACTATTTAGAGAGACTGTCAGCTTTAGTCAGTGTTTTAATAATGCATCTGCAGAAAAACCTTATGTTGACAGACAAATAAAAAAGTCTTCTCCTCCCCATCCTGCTTCTCCCCCCCCCCCCCCCCCCCCCAAAAAAAAACCCCAGCGCTTTACTGAAAAAGCACATCAGTTTGACTCAGCTCTCCAATGTCTGTATTGATTGAATGCTTCACCAGGGGTTTTTGATGCTTTTATGTAATAGCGGATTAAATCGCTATTAGATAAAGTGCCACAAAGCCCCACCGAAGTATGCAAACTACACAGGTGCTGTGCAAGCCAGGTCAAACCGATTCAGTGCCTCTTCTGGACGTGCGCTGCACTCAGCACGGGGGCGCACCAAGCTGACAGTAAAGTGCTGTTTTGTTTTGTTTTCTTCCATGTCTGTAAGCAGCCTTATATTACCACAACTAAAATAGCTGAGAACAACTTCCTTAGGTTTTCAGTTTATTTTGAACCTGAAATACTGTCAAATATACAATACACTAGTTCCCTAGAGATACTTAGTTTTGTCTGTTTGCTTGTTGTTACAGAGAAAGAATCATGATTGTTAAGCCATAAACAAGCATAGGTTAGTTACAAAAATGTAGTACTTGGAATTATTATTTTTTTGTTTAAATTAACTCCCTTTAATGTTGAAAACGGTTTCTTTATCAACAATTACTACCTTTCTTTTAACCTCTTTTTGGGAAAGGTATAAGAAAGAATGAATTTGAAGCTGCCCCTCAGTAAAACATGTCCTCCTCAGTTTGACTTTACCTAAATATAGTTAACAATTAATTCCTCCTGCCATTAAATGTATAAAGCAAGCAGTCAGGCTGCCTTTATTATATGAGCAACTTTTGGTGCTGTTGACAGGAACAAGCCTGGAATGTCTGGTAACAAACAATACCTTAATTGGGTTTACTAACTACTCTCGCTGCAACAGGAATGCTGCTAGTCCACACATATAGCATTCTCCAGGGATCAGTCCTGTCACCTGTCCTCAAGGTGTATGCAAAAAATCACTATAAAAGATGAGGCAGTTGTAGGTTCCAAAGTCATCATCGTGCTATTACTGCGTTCATCTCATTTTTCTTTTAACACAGGTTATGCTGTCTCCTTATTCCTCAAGAACAGTATCTGAATGAAAGCAAGTGCGTGCAACTCAGATAAGGCAGAAATATTTGACTACAGAAAGTACTTGGAGGAATGGGCTGAGCAATAGGTACCTGTTGTCAGAATTGTTCACAGCCCTGGGTCACATTCATCTTCTCAGGTTTTCATGCAGCAGTGGTTGGCTGTAGTATCATCATCTCAGACTAGGCCATAGGTAACTCAGCCTCCAGCCTACAGGCCAGATGCAGTCCACACAGCCATCTCATTTGGCCTGTGGAGATCCCCAAAGGTCCAGAAATTTGGCAGCAGGGAAGTGATGGCCAATAATAAAACCACTCTCCCCACTGCCAAATTCCCAAGTCCCATGTGTGCCTGCTTCCCCTGTGAGACCAGTCCATGCCCCCTCCCCACCTCTTCTGAATTGGCCACGCCGCCTTCCCCCAAATGGCCCGGGCCACAGCTCCTTCTCCCGTAGGGCCAGATCAAGCTCCTTTCCCTGGATCAGAACCACCAATGATCCAGCCCACAGAGGGACTGCCCATCTAGCCCACCAGACAAAAAAGGTTGGGCATCACTGGACTAGGCCATTGGGCTGCAGCTATACACCTCAGAGACAACAATAATGCCTTACTGTCTCCAGGCTACAATTACTGCATGAGGTTACCCTTGAAGTTCACCTGGAAACTCTACTGAGTCAAGTGCCTGGTGTAAAAAGACAGACAAGGTTCCTTGGGTGAAAAGAGGCAGAATTAAAATACACATTATTTGATTTTCTGTAGGAACTTGCTTTTTCACTTCCAAAAGAAATTCAAGTGATAATCCTTACACATCCAAACAGTTTAGAATAGTGGTGCCCAACCTTTTTGCGTGGTGGCCTGACAGGCAGTGCCTGGTCCCTCTATGGGCCAGATCCAATCAGTGGTCCCAGTGCGGCACCCAGTGGTCCCAGTCTGGCATGTAAAATAGACACCGTCCAGCCATGCAGAGGGGAGGCCAGCCACAACATGGCCCCGCAGGGGAAAGGAGATTGACCTGGCCTCACACAGGGGAAGGGGCATGGTCCGATCTCAACAAGGCCCCGTGGAGTGGGGATAAGGGGATGTTGACTGGCCGCTATCCAGGGAAGGGAGAGGGGGCATGAACCAGCCCACAGAGGAGAGAGGCTTATGTGGAGCTTGGGATTTGGGAACTTGGCAGTGGGGGGAGGGTGGCTGTATTAATGGCCAAATTTCTAGACCCGTGGGCCAGATGAAATGGCTTTGCCGGCTGCATTTGGCCCACAGGCCAGAGGTTGGGCACCCCTGGTCTAGAATGTGGGTGAGACAGGTCATTTCCAAACTATATTCTGCTGCACCAGGTATAATAAGCTGGGAGGTTCCTGGTTTCTTCCTGGAGTTGAGTACAAGACTTCTGCCAGAACTCTGTATTTGTAACTCAAATTCAGCCTAAATTTGCCCTCCTCTAGTAATATTCCAAGACACAATAACAAAATGACATGGTTTGCAGGTTCCCCCCATCAATTTTCTTATTTCAGACTGACATAATGGTTGTTTACATCACTGTATATAGCATGGAGTAATTCCTTCATTTTGTTCACCAAGGTATTTCTATGTAAAACTAGAACTTTCCAGAACAATTAAAATATTTTCATCATTTAGATAGAATATGCAACACCTTAGCAATTAGTTTATCTGAAGAATATTCATCATGTACTGTAGTACTTCAGTTTCCTTTTATGCTGCTCTGAGGACTGACCAAGATGTTTCAGAAGCTTAAATTGACAGACTCAAAGCATCACTACATGGATTAAAAAGAAAATGACTAGCAAACCAGCAGCTAACAAACAACGTAAGTTGAAACTGAAGCATTTAAACATACAAACCTTCAGGTATACACAAAACAAAGGAAATAGGGGTGCACCGATTGAGATTTTGGGGGCCAATACCGATAGCCGATCTTTAAAAGAGGCATATCAGCCAATACCAATCCGATTTCCAATACAGCTGCCTCCAGCTGGTAAGTTAGGTGTAGTGGAAAGGGTATGTGGGGGGGCAGATGAACACCCCCACCGTGGAGGGGGGGGGGGGGGGGGGGCCCCCCCTGCCGCTGCTTGTCCCCTGCCCCGCCAAGAGGGCACAGGGGAGTGTGCATCTCCTGGATCTGCATGGGGCAGGCTACAACCAGGGATATGCAGGGCTCTTCTCAGTGGGAGCTGGGCTCAGAGTAGATGCTGGTGGTGCGGGGACGTTCCTGCATCCACCACTATTTCACTGCCACTGCACTCCCAGCGCCACCACCACCAGCCACCCAACGCAGCCCCAGCTCAATGGCCCGCCTCCACCCACACGCCGGGGAAGAGCTGAGGCTGTGGTTGGCAGCAGCAGTTAAAAAAAAAAAAAAAGGTGGATGCAACATTCTCCCAGCGCCGCTGGTGCCCATTCTGAGCCCAGCCCCCACCAAGAAGAGCCCCATGCAGATCCGGGGAGCACATGACCCCCTATGCCCTCCCAGGTTGCTTGCAGCAGCAGGAGGCCTTCCCCGCCCTCCGCAGTGCCTGCCCCCTCCCTCACCACGGGCTGGGGGGGGATCCCCCCCCCACTGGACTAACCAGCTGAAGACAGCTCTCCACACTGCCAGCTGTGCTCCTCTCTGCTTGAGTGCTGCACTGTGGCACTTTTATCAGGCCAACATCCCACACAGCCAATTTTCTTTATATCAGTACCGATCCAATATAGGACCGATGTATCGGTGCACCTCAAAGGAAAATAAGGGATAAACGCACGTTTTTTAAAAAAATAGATGGCTTGCTAACTAGAGTTAGAAATCCAGAAGAGCAAATTGTTTCCTGTAGAAAGGAAAAAGGGCTTTAAAAATTGTAGGATGCGTGTTTAATACACATACAAATAAAGCAAAAAATTCAAAAGTTCATTCATTATATGAATGAACAATCCCTTAGAAAGATGAAACCTCATTAACCAGAACTGTATGGAAAATGGACACCCTGACCCTTTAGGGATTATAAACAAAAATGTTCAGGTCCAGCAGACATAGAGGGTGTCTTTTCCCAGTTTTTGAATGCTGCATTTTTTTCATGTGTGCATACGTTCCTACATCGCTGCAGGGTATTGTGCGAGATGACCCCTGAGGTCCACCACATCCTATGATTATGCATTTTGCTTTTCTTTTCTAAATCTGGAAAGGAATTTGCAGCATGCAAGTCAGGCAGAAGGTTGGGCAGGGCACCTTAGACACTTACTGGTTCAGAGAAGCATGAGTTTTCATACACAACCTACTACTATAATAGAGGAGGTCCAGCTGGTCAATGCATCCCAGGGTGCTGAGGCTCAGCACATGGCTGCCTGGGCAGTGGCCCACCTCAGCAACAAGCTGGAGCTGGCGTGTATAGGGGCCATTCACATCCTGTCCTTATTGTTGGTGACCTGCTGCCAGAGTAGCTGGGACAGGTGGTGGTCATTCAGACTGACAGATCAAACCTCATTCCTGTTTAGCTAAATTTTACTTTTGCAGCTTAAAACAGAGAGACTCTCTGACTGCCCCTACCTCCCCACCCATGGACATGCAATTCCCAAGTGACTTCAGTATTATAATGGAAGTATATCAACTTAGAACCTGCACCCCCCCCAGATAGACAGTCAGATAAAACACCAGCCTTTAAGAACTATATTTTACATCAAAAAGCTCCAGTATGGACAGGGTATTATAACCATATCCTCTCTCTAGATAAGAACTGTGGCACAATTTAAAACAGAATTAAGGCAAAACTGTTTTCAGATGCATTTCCAGAGCTTGCATGAAAATCAGCAAGAACTATAAACCATTTGGGTAAAGACAGAGTTGTACCTAATAACTCATACCTATTGGGAATATCAGACAAATCAAATCCCTTCAGCTTCTCTTATTACTGGAACGCTAGATGTAGCTATTTAATAAGCCAAAACAAACAAACAAACAAACAACAAAACAAATATTTCCCTATGTACCATTTGGTAATTAGAAGGTAAATCATTCATTAGTAATAAAAAACAGTAGCTTGAAGTATTACAGGACATTAACTCCACTGCAGGTTCTTTTATCACAAAAAGTATATGCATCTCATTGTGAACCAAGATGCCTATAATGCATCACCAAGACATGCTTAATTTTTGTCCTCCCCTGAAAAACTATCATCTGTAAAATAAAAAAAAAAGGACCAGCAACAGAAAGTGTTAATAAGTCAATTAGTTTTCTTCTTCATACTGTAAGTAAAGATATAATATACTATGCTATCAGTTAAATACTGGTACAAATACTTATTGAAAGTGAAAACAAGGAAAAGGAATTACAGTGTCTTTAAATAAAATAGACATGAGCTGGAAATGTACACAAAAAGTAAATTAAAAATTAAAATTTGTATGTAGAAGTCTGAAGTTTTTTTGAGAGCCATAAAGAACACAATACTGTATAGCCAAGTCATAAAACTACCATGCAAAATGGCAACAGGGATGGTTCTAAACAGTATACTTGAAAATAAGGATAATTCATACATTTTGTTTTACAGCATAATTTTAACTTCATATTTCCCTGCCACTCTCCCCTTAAAAAATCTCAAATTTCATTTCTTACGACATACTCCCCTATCCTCTTCCAAAACTGATAAAAAAACTCTTTATCCACATAAAATAAACTTGCTAGGCCTCAATCATTTAAAGAGCTCTTTAGTTTTAGTTCTACATCTTTAAGGGAAAAATATGCTTTTTCACTGTCCACTTTTGCTAATGATTTGACAAAGAATGCTTTTCACTGAACTACAATATTTCTTTTAATTTTTAGCCTGGAAGAGTTGTGACTCTTGTTGAAGATCCTGAGGTACAGTACACTGCCTTATAAACAGTTTTTATAGCACATAGCATATTTTACTGGATTCCACTTGTTTGATACATCATTATGAAACATCATCAGATGAATATTTTATCTTTAAAATGTAAATAAATTTTTTTTTGCTGTCAAAGCATGTTCTCAGACTCCCCATCAGTCTCAGAATTGCAACTATGGATTTCAGTGGATACATTTTATGCAGTCTGTAACTAAGCAATTAGAAAGTATATAAGCTTTATTATTTCAATAAAGGAAGAGTTCTAAGTATGCTTCTGAACAGTCAAGTTAACGACCCTGTTTAAGTAAATTTGTAGCACCTGGCAGCTATTACTAATATTGGCTGATGTTTTGATAAAACTTGCTTCCACAAAATAAAACTTGGCATGTATCAAGACTAAATCCTAATAAAACAAGACATACCCTTGCTTAATTTTGATACCAATATGAAATGTAATCCCTCAGCTATAATTCTTATCATTTTGTTTTCTACTGAACCCTGAATGTGAATGAAAATTCTTCTTTAGAAAAAGGTGTAAGGACCTGATTCTGTTACTCTTACTCATCTCGAGTAAGAGTATTTGCAGATGGAAGTACTACTCAAGGCATGGAAAGAGTGACAGAAACAGAACGAAGCCTTACATTTGTGACTTTGTAAGTCAGAAAAGTTACAGGTTTTGTACATAACAATGGGGGGGTGGCAGAGGGAGAAGAGAAACACTTTTTCTTAAATTTTACTCTCATGTCCAGCTTTGCCAGATGGTGACAATACAGCATAGATTCTCTATTACAGCCTGGTCCTACAGCTCTTTCCTACATTAATTGTTCCATTGTAAGATTCCCAGCTGAAGACCTCATGCGAGCTAAGGCAATGCTTTTAAAAATGTATACTGCATGTGGTCCTAAGGGATTCAGTCCATATACCAATTAGTATGCAGTTCCTACAAAAGACTGATAAGCAATACTATGTTGTGTTAAGCACTGTGACCCTCAGTAGAAAGTGACTGTGAAGACCACATGCTACTTAGTTCTGAAACTAATCTCAAGAGTCTTGCAGGCATTGTGTTTTCCCACTCTTCTTTTAAAACAGTAGCATTGCTTGATTACAAGGTGAGGTACTAAGCCAGAGTTATGGAAACAAGACAAAACTAAAATTTATTACAATTAGTACAACTCTTCAGTCATGTGACTGTTTTTAAACTGCATTGTGTTGAATTTTGCCTTTCTTGTTGAATTTTTAGCTTCTTAGTACCCAGCCTCCCACCTGACTAGACCCCACCACTCCAGTTCAGCAAGATCACTTTAAATTGTAGTTCTAGTCTCCTTAGCATTTGCTGCACCAACTTTAATTCAACCAGAAACTTGATTATAGTTAAATTTAAACCAAAGTAGCTTGCAGATAGTACTACAAGATGAAGTGGTAGATTCTGTGAATATTGCCTTAAAAAAAAAAAAAAAAAAAACCAAACCCCCCCCCAAAAAACACCAGATGTCCATTTTCTAGTGCAGAGGTCACCAGGTGGATCCCAGAGCCTCTTCAAGTCGATCTTGGGCTGGGGGGAGGGGGCCTAAGCATATGCGTGCGTGCGCATGTGCATCCCCCCCTGCCCCCCAGCCCAGCAGGTCAGTCAGTGGGGGAGGGAAGGGGTGGAGGTCTGGGGGGCACATGCAGTGGGGCTCACGGTGCAAAGCCCAGCCTGCAGCTGCAGTCACCTCCACTACACACAGATTGGGGGGGACATGCCCCCCCCCAATGCAGGGAGCACCAGCAGGGAGTGTGAGCAAGCCCTGCACAGCCTGGGTGGGGTGGGGTGGGGTAGGGAACGGAACTGCAAGTGGCTTATCCCCGGGGGGGGTACCTGCCCCCAGATCTGCACATGGGGGCAGGGACAATGCTGGGCTCTTCCCAGCTGGGCTGCACTCAGGCCAGGTGACTGCAGCGGTGGCACTGGGAGCAGGGCCATGCTGGCGGGAACAGTCGAACACAGCCTTTCCCTTTTCCCAAGGACATGGGGGCTGGTGGGCTGCTGCTGTGGGCTGTAAAGCTGCCTGTGGGCTGCCTGGGTGTTCCTGCCGGACCTGGCCCATACTGCGCTGGGAGTAGGGACGCCCCCCCATGGCCCCACAGCCACCCAGCCTGAGCACAGCCCAGCTAGAAGGAGCCCAGCACTGCCCTGGCCCTGGCCCTGGCCCCACATACAGATCTGGGGGCATGCGCCCCCCTGGGCTGCATGCCCCTCCCTCCCCACACCCCCCGGATGAGCCACTCATGGCTCTGTCACCTGCCTCACCCCAGCTGTGCAGGCCTTGTCACTCCCTCACCACTGTTGGGGGGTGGGGGCAGAAATCAAGTCCCCAGTGGTGAGGGAGTGGGGTAGGGCTGGGGCCTTGATGTGCACCCCACCTCCCATGGGCCTATCCTCTCCCCCCTCCCCCCTCCCCCCAGACTTTCCTGTTGGGGGGGGGGGGGTGGAAGAAGGTGTAGATCTTCAGTTCCTCTTAAATTCCAAAAGTGATCTCTAACCTAAAAAGGTTGGAAACCACTGTTCTACAGGGTTCCAAAACCCTTTAAAAACAAGCAGGATCCCATGTTATAACTAGTCTGAAGGATCATTGTTTGAAGACTGACAGGTATTTCACTACCAAGGCCAAAGCAATTTTCTGTAAATCATCTAGAACTGCTCCACAAATTGTCAGGGGTCTGTAGACCAGTTTTAGAGCCATTTTTAGTCTATCAAAAGATATGTGAATAATCCATGTTCTTGCATTTGAGTTGAACAGGAAACCGTTCTCCAACACTAATATTTTAACTTTTCCCATTCACTTCAGGAGGAAAGAGAGACAGTTTGAAATTAAATTAAAGAGATACTCATTCAAATTCCAGTAGCTACCTTTCCCCACAGTAACCAACAGCTTAGTGGTTAGGGTGCTCTCCTGGGACATGGAAAAGCACAATTTAAGTTCCTCCTCTGTCTGATTCAAACCAAGGTCTCAGCTCTTGATTTCATACTTCTGGAGAATGCTCTAGCCACTGAGCAATGGCGGGGGGGGGGGGGGGGGAAGCTGCTCTCTCTGTCTGGTTTTGATGAGAATATTTCTCTCTCAAGAACTATTATGAACAGTTTTGATAGATCTGCATTTTATGACAAAAAGGTATCAGAAAATTCCTGACCAGCTATTGCTTAGATTTTTCTGCATCAACTACATAAACATTCTGATTTTCAGCAGAAGCAGATCAGAAGAGCTTCCTTAATTTGGAAGGGAGAAAAAAATGTTTCAATATAGTTTGCAAACATTCCTCTGACCTAACAGCCTTACCCAACCTAAATTTGCTTATGGTTGCTAAACCATCAAAGCTTTGTGAACCTCAAACTATGAGATTGCAAAGGAGAATTTCCCTTTTGGCTCCCAACTACCACAGTGAAAAGTTTAGGGTCTGTACAACTGCCACAAACCATTTGGCTCCAGGGGAGGACACAGAATTTTCCAGATATCTGGACAGAGAGGAATAAAAACAGAAATTATCATTATGACACAAAATCTGCGGTATGATCACATTTTGAATGCTGCAGTTCTGATGCCCCAACCTCAAAAAGGATATATAGAATTAGGAAAGGTACAAAGATAAAGGCAACAAGAATGATCAGGGGCATGATGAGAATATGGGGAATGAGGAGCGACTAAACATGCTAAGACTTTTTAGCTTAGAAAGATGACTTGGGGCAAATAGGATGGAGGTCTATTCAATAAGGATTTACTATCTCTCTCAATACTAGAGTTGGGGGACAATTATGAAATCAGCAGGTAGCAGATTTAACAAGCAAGGACGTCCTTTTTCATAGAAGGTATAAGTAAACTGTGACGTTACTGTCGCATGATGTAGAGGTTGGGAATTTAACCAGGGTCAAAAGAGGACTACACTGATTTAACCTATCCCTGGGTAAATCTGTAAATGGTTAGGTGTGAACCCTCCAATTAGAAATTCCTAGGTTTCCTTCCTGAACAGTGTATGTAGGGGAACAGACACAGGGGAGGAGAGAGGAGTGGATATGCCGTACAGAAATAATCTTTCCCTTAGCACCTACATTCCACCACTGCAAGATACAGGATCCTGGACTAGATGGACCTGTTGTCTCATGCAGCATGGTATCTCTTATCCTCACATTCAAGGGAGGAAAGATTTTTAATCAAGATGTGCGAGATTGGTTAATTGTGGGGGAAAAAAAACTATGACAAGCAAAATACCGCTACACCAAAATCACTAAGTCCCAGAGCAGTACTCAGCTCAGTGAACAGATGGGGTACATCAGACAAAACGTTTCACAAAAATTAAAGAGAGTTAACATGCAAAGGGAGAAAAAAGTAAAATTCAGTATTAAGTCACATTATATCAGACAAGCAGTCTAGGAAGGGAAGACAGTGGTAAATACCTCAAAAATAACTGAAATCCCAGGATATTTGAATGAGGTAGTTGGACTGAAGATTATTTCTTCTATTCTACTCAGGAGCTATAGACCTGGGGTTACCTAAGTCCAAGTGAACTTTGGGAGGAAGAACCTGGTATGAGTAACAGTGTTTGAAGATGCAGGAAGTTTATTTTAAAAGACCCCTATAATCCACTGGTGAAGGATACTGGGGGGGAAGCATTTTTTATTTTGCACATTAGCAATTGCTACCGGCTAAAGGTTAACTTTGTGTGTAATTGGGTTCAAATGTACAGGACCCTGGGCACTCCAGAAACAGTTCGTCAAAACAGACCTCATGCTTGGTATAACAGTGCATAGTCACCCTAGTTTGAATGACTCTTTAATAGGCCTGTGCAAATAGGGAAGTATTCTATTTGTTTTCAGCCGATTCAGAGGACAGTGATTCGATTTGGTGATTCGAATCGCTCTCCCCATTCGATTTGGCCAAATCAGAAGCGGAGATTCGGCACTGATTTGGAGATTCAGATTGGTCAGGGAGTGGCAGGCACAGCTGGGCAGCTGCAAGTTCTCCCATGGTTGCTCCAGCTGTGCCTGCCTCTCCCCGGGTGGGGGGAGCTGTAGGAGAAGCCCCCATGGGTGTCCTGCCCATCCCCATCCCCCGCCCAAACCCAGCCTCCCGGCACTTAAAATACAATTTTAAAAAAGCCCCGCACTCCCCAGCTGCAGCAGCAGCTGCATGGGGCTCTGGAGTCTCCTGGCAGAGACCCCCCCACGCAGTCCCTGCTCCCCAATCACACACCCCCACCACCCAGCCCAGCCACCCGGCAATTAAACAAACAAACAAACAAACATGCCCCACACTCACCAGCTACAGGAGCGGGGATCAGGGCCTCTGGGCACTTC